AAAAACTAATCGAATTAAATAAAGGAAAAAATGCATCAGATTTAATAACTTAAAATCAATTTATTTATCCTGATTAAGGTCAACTTTAAATAAGGTCAACTTTAGCTTCAATAAATTTAACATCCTGTGATGATACAATTTCAATAAATCACCTATAAAACAAAAAACATTTTTATATTCGATATTTCAGAAATTTATAAAAGTAAAGTAGGAAATACAAAAAACTAACGGCGTGTACATCTGTTTATTATATCTACAGCGTGTATTTATACATCATATCTACCATGCCTTATGCCTTATCAGCAGTGGCGGATTAAGACTTCTTGGGGCCCGGGGCTATTTTTGTTTTTGAAAAAAAAATCCTCTAAAATTTTTGGGGGCCTTTAAATTTGCGGGGCCCAGGGCTATAGTCCCCTAGCCCCCCTTGATCCGACACTGCTTATCAGTTAAAAGCGTTCGAGTCCTTTCAATATTATGCAAAGTATAATGCTATTTTGATATATATCTAATTTCTGTCATTGTAGCGTACTAGTTTTAGAATGATTAACAGGGGTGTGGTAAAATAACTGTAAAACTTTAAATTTCCTTATTATCCTAATAATGTGTATTTTTAACTTTTTATTACTTTTACAAATTATAATTTTAAAAAAGTAGTTTGTTTTAAAAATAAAGTTTTAAAAATAAAGTTTTGAATTATGTTCTTAATAAAAACATATTTTTTAAACCCCCATATTGTTTATAAAAAGTGAACTTCGCCGCGTGGCTAGTTCAAATCATCAGCTTGCTTTTTTTTAATATTTGTTATTTTAAATGCAAAACAAAACAACTTTCTTTCTTTCAAAACAAACTTTTTTTTCAAAAGGGTTTTACTTTGTATTTTAAAAAAATCGATAAAGATTAAATTAAAAAAAAAAAAAACGATGAAAGAAATCGAACCTGGAACTCCTACCCCAACGCGATGCGCGCTAACCACTCAGCTACGCAGACTTGTTGCTTAACGTTATTTTAAAAGTATATAACATATTAAAAATTTTATCAAACTGATTTAAGTGCTACAGATCAAATCTTAAGGAAATGTTGCCGCAATGCAAATTTCAAGTGAAAGTGAAACTGAAAAACTTAATAAAGGTTTTAATATGTTTTTAACTTTACATAATTTGAAGAAAGTTAGATATTTGCGTACGTAAAATATTAGCATACACTTTCGTTGATATTTCTAATATAAAAAAGTGCTGCTACTCTTTCTCGCCAATACCTCGGTTGCAATGGCTCCCAAGAGTATCGTGTCAAACAGGCTCGAAAAGGCACTGCTATTAAGTTCAGTATTATTAATTAGATTTGAATGACATCAACTTTTTAAAAATAATGCTATTTTTTATTTAACTATTTTTTATGTTTATTATTAGTTATTACGTAATTTATATAATAGTTAAACTATATGATTTAAATATTATATATATATATATATAATATAATATTTAAAATACATCAAAGTAATTTGATTAAAATGCTCTGATAAAAATTATAAGAATAATAAAATTATTTTTAATTTGGATTTTCTATGTTTTATTATTGGTTTATTTTATAATTTACTTGCCTATTAATCACCTTTATTATCTACATATTCTTGGCATCCAATTTAACGATTTATTTCATTTGTCGAAGTCAAATTTCTGCCCCTAACTAATAATTTTTTTCCACAACTTATGCATCATTAGTTTTTGATATTACTTTTTAATTCTTCCCAGAAAAATTCGATAGGCGAAAGATATTGATCGGGGAGGCTAAATCATTCAATTCAAAGTTTAATTACCCTAGAACTCAGTCAAATAACTTATACAATGTTCTAAGAAATATGTTTTAGATTTAAGCCTAAAGTTATTTTCTTCAAAAAAGATAAGTCGCTTTTCATTAACCCAACTTTCCAAAGGTATTGCATGACTATGACAAAAGTGTTACTTTTGTCATTATTTCCTCTACTTTTACAATGTCACCTGTGTCATTCTAACCAAAACAGCACCACCTTAACGCTACACCAACGATGTTATACAGTCGATAATACAAACTATTTTTATCATACATTTAACAATTTTCTTTTAAGACAAACAATATTTTCTTGAAAGCAAAGATTTAAAGCTTCGACACGTTTGTCCGCGTTTACAGTAATTGATAGTCTATTTTTTATGTATTTTTGCTCTATATATATTATCCTATATACTTTTTTTGGAGTGTTAGGGGGATACTAAACATTTATAAATAATATTAGAGGCTCTATATTTTCCTATTATAGAGCAGTTTCTTTATTTATGCAATTGCAGGGTGGGTATTCTTTTGGACTTTCTGAACTAATTTTCTTGTTGTGGCTTATTATTATTCTTTCAATAAATCGATTTCAATTTTTATCATTTCAATTTTATAAATGTATATTTTTACCACCACCCACCCACCCACCCACCCCCTAACAATCCAGAAAAAATATATATATTAGCCTAGCAGAAGGTGTATGGAAGAAAAGATGGGCCTGGTCAATAATTAAACAAGCCCCCGCATACAGCAACGTAACAAAAAAATGCTTGCTTTGCCTTCATAAAATTTTTTGCATAATATCATACAAAGGTACGCAAGCAAATAGTAACAGTTTTATAATTGTTTTTGAACGTCACGATGTTTTATAAGAGTATATTATTTATACTCTTAATAAACATCGAAAAAAACAATGTATTTTTACCTGATGATTGCTAAACGCATGAAACATTTAGTAGTAAAAATTATGCAGTTATTTTTATTTAGTCTTGTCAAAAATCAATTATATCTCTCTCCTCTCTCTCTCTCTCTCTCTCTCTCTCTCTCTC